CAAACAGTCGCAGAAACAGCTGATCCTAGAGCCATTATATCCTTAGACATGCATATTGTAGTTGGCTTATCTGATGTAGATACTGAAAAGTTGAATAAATAATAGATATAGAGATTTAAAAAGAAAACTCCAACCTTGAGCAGCATAATTATACAAAGTAGAATCATCTTCAACACCAACTCTTCCGGTGACTTCAATGATGCTATCGTCATCAGGAAGAGTGCTGATTCGACGACGTTGGCGAGGAGGTGTCGAACCGCATTTCTAAATTAGCAACATTTTTTTTATGCAATCAGTAAAATTCAGTCGTTCGATCAAGAAACACCAGCTCATTTGTTCAGTCATTCATTTGTTCATTTTCCCATTGAGCCATTTTGAGCTCGTCGCTCAGATAGGAACCTCAACTGAATTCAAGTAACTCAATATGGAATGTGGAAAAAAAAACCTACATTTAATTGAAAAAGAGAGCAATTCTTTATTTAAATTAGGACAATTCTATCGTTCAAGATGGGTGACGCTGACAACCGACGTATGGGAAAAACGCCGTGGCCACAATATAAATGATTCATTGCGAACGTTGAATAGAATACAAATTAAAGGACTGACTGCACTGAGAAAACAAAAAAAAAACAATGCATTGTGGGAAAGTTGCCATGCTAAGTTTCTAGTCATGACACATAATTTGAAAAAGTAATGGCTCATACGTGATAGAGTAGGACTAACCGTGCCAAACCTTATTGAGAATTTTTAACTTGTAAACTGTAAAGTTTTCCGAAAAAAAAAGATCTTACCGTAGTATTTCCACAGAGATCTTCCAAAGACTTTCCTGTCAATATCAGATGCTCAAACCTAAACATTCAACTTTATTTCATGTTCTAGAGCTAAATCTCTGACCTATTACTAACTTTCTGATGCAGAGCTTTACCGCACAACGAAACCAGACATCATTGAGATCCGGAAATTTAAATGCTGTTGCGTCTGCAAAAGCTCGTTGGTGATTGTCTGCATATCTGCAAATAGGAAATGTGAACTAGTCGAATACATTTTATTCACAAATGGTGTAAATGCACAACACAGATCAAAAATATGTGGAAGTTGTTGGGTCTTCTGCAAATTTTGTTCATAGGCTCAATAAAATAAGAAAGAACTTTTTTTAAAATGAGCTAATGGCAACTGTTTTGATCTTCTGTGAGTTTGCCTTTCTCTTGCGCGATTGAATGTGTTGTGCACTTACATCACTTGTTGGCGACGACACAACTGATCCTTGCGTAAAGCACATAACGATGACCTTGAGCTTCACTTTCTTACCGAACATCCGAAATTAAAGTGGCATCTGTAGAGCATCCATCTCTTATAATCCCCATACCTCGTCGGTCGTGAGTTTCAGCAGTGCAATCGAGAACTTTTACTCCATAGAGTTCTGCAATGATTAGCATTTGCTAAAGATCAAATTATTCAGTATAAAACTAATTATTTTGTCGAGAATCAAAAAAGCATATCTACATCCGAAGTGTTTGTACCAGCTTCATTATTACTAAGGAAGCATCATGCATCAAGGATTAAGGTAGCATTCTTTTCACACAGCGAAATAGTGGATCTAAAACTAACTCTATATGTATTTAAGTCCTCGTCATATCACCTGCTATTACTTTCTGAATCTATTAAAGTCAAAAACATTTCAAGATTCTAAACCATTTTAGGCCTCAATGATATTTTCAAGGTCTCTTTTATATTCATTTAGAAAAAGAAAACTCAAGTTTTCAATTAATGGTCATCGTGTTTTTTCCTTTTCTTTCCCACAAACATATCTATTTTCGAAAAAAGACGCATAAAAGGAAAAGAAAATGGAAGAACCTAATGGTGCGATAGGTTGAGATATCCTTAGATTGTTTATTGAGATTTTGTAGTA